CCCCCCCCCCCCCCCCCCCCCCCGCTCTCTCCCTCTCTCCCCATCAAAGGTAAGTTTCTACTGAGCAAGTTATATTCATCTGATGGCGGTTGTGAATTTTAGGTGAAGTGGAGAGACTGCTACCTGTTGTTGCGATGCTCCTTCAATTCAGCCCCGAAGAGGTGAATTTCTCTCTTTAGTTTCTCTATTGATGTAATATGTTGCAATAGATGAGTACTACGTTTGTTACCTGTCGATGCATTCCAAATATATTTCCCTCTTTGAGAAATTCACCCTGCATAACTGTTGTCTTCTGAACTTGCATCACTTGAAAGCTCGTGAGAAATATAGTCTCCTAATCTCCATTTACTTTCTTTGCCTCTTTTTTCTAGCTTTCCCCTGTGATAAAAACTTTCTCCACTCTTTCCATCTACACCCTCATTTGCAAGTCGTTACATCTTGGCCAACTACAGGCAATCTTCTTGTGGAACTGTCTCCTCCCACAACTTTCTTTATGGACTGATTCTTAGATAAACCCTCTTGCTGAATAATCCATCATGTTAGCTTTCTGGTTTATGCCAACTTTAAATACTTATTCATGAACCTCATTGCTATCACGTCATACCTTGTGGGCTTTGATATATGTGGAGTTGACTAGAGAATCTCCTCTAAATAATTCCTTATCATCATTTTTGATCGGTGCCGTTAACTTATTATCTTACATCACCTAGTAAATATCTTTTTGTGGTGTGATTTTATGAGTTGCGACTTTCTATCTTGAGTTTCTGCTTTTGTGCCAATTTCATTGATAGCTTGATGTATATGATAAACTCTCCGCTGAAGATAAATGATTTTCCAACTTTAAAGCCAAGCTCAATATAGAGAATATTCCATGTTTAAAACTCCCAACTCAAAACTTGGGTTTTAACTCCGTTTATCTTCTGTTTTCGTCTTTCTTTTGGTTTTTGGACATAAATAACTCAAATCGAGTTTGTATATTAACCTGCTTCCATTTAGCTGAAAAATCTGAAGGCATGGTTCAGTGTGATTTGGTTCCACTGCGGCAGTAGTTGCATATCAAAATATCAATTGGAAATTTATTTATTTATTTTTTAAATATGCTTACAATGCAGCTGCAGAAGTGTCAAGCCGCCTACCGAGCAACGACTGAAATTCCACCTAGCCCTGCAAGTGATTCTTCAGGATCTTCACGGTCTCTTTTCTCTAGGTTCGCATTTTCATAACAAGAAAAATCATTGCCGGAAATTTTGAGATAAAATTTGAAATCCAGATGTAACTGGATTCATCATTTCTAAGGGGAGTTGGGTCAGGAATTCTTTTAGCAGCAACGCTAAATGTATATGCAATGAAACAGGCATTATAATATTTAGAGAATCGATAGAAGAAAATGAGATACAACTTATATGAAGAAATGGAGAGATTTTTATGCCTTCTATAATTCTTTTAACATTGTTCCATTCTTGTTCTGTGTGTTTTTTCTTGTGAAGAGCTAAGGAATGGTTTCGTTCTCTGTAACCTTAACCTTAATTTGTCATGGAAACTGGAAGGCATCTCTATTTCCGTCTTGCTTGCCGTGGTTACACTCTTTCGATCAATCCATATTATTATAGGATTGGTGTTTCTATTTGAATGGTTATAGAATTAGTTTTTGCATTTAAATGGGAGAGGTGAAGGCAGAAACTGTGTGAAAACCGTTGATGAAATTTTACTAAAATTGGAGGGTTCAAAAATTTAAAATTACATGAAGAAATTGTGGAACTTAAATAAAACTTAAGGCATGTGATTCAGTCAACTTGTGAAGCAAGAAAAATATTTTGAACTAAAATTTAAGTTTTGTGCAATTGTATAAAGGTTTATTATTGGGAAAACAAAGCTTATTTGGTCGTTAAAATTCAATCAATTTTTTGCCAGAATTTCGTAAATATATGATTCGTAAGAACGAACTAGACTTGCAAGTTGCAACTATTTCCTTCAGTTAAATGTCATAAAGTACAAGGGACCACAATTGCTTTTTAAAATAGTCAACAATACCAATATCCTTTTCTGCTCGAAAAAGATAAATATTTCTCATCAAATTAGGTAATATTTACGAGAAGTTTTTTGGCTAAGATTAAAATCGGATTAAAATTGAAAAATTAGTCGTTATTGTTGAGTTTTATTGGATTTTAATCTTAGCCAAAATTCTTGTACCTACAGAACAGGCACAACCAAAGGCGGGAGCAACATTTTTTTTTTTCCCAATATTTAATACATAGGGCCCGCACCATGTGACTGAAAATTCAAATTTCTATATAAATTTTCCTGTACTTTCATCAGTTTTCTTGAAAAATTTGGCGAAAGACAAAATTTACTTTAGGCAAAAAAGGAGCTAGTTAGAAAAGCTTCCGAAATTATTTTGCCGTCAGAAAAGCATTCAATTGGCCCCAAGGATACTTCAACCCGCCCGTTACAAAAAAAATATAAGAGAATTGCGGAGAACTTGTTTAATTTTATTAGCCATTGAATGAACAATTTGAAATGTTGTAATCTATGTTTTAAAGGCCATGGCTTTTTGCACATTAAAAGCCATGATATGAATCACTAATTTTGTATCAAGAATCAGCACAATTAATGCACAAGTTAGTAACTGTACATCCTCCCTCTGCTTGTTATGGGACATTTTGTGCAAGAAAATTTGCCGGTTCACATTTTGCTGCATATCCCAACTTAGAAGTGTTGTATTTTCTGTAAACCCCAGTAAGTTTCCCGGTTGCTGCCTTCTGGTGGAACCCGACGATCAGTCTTGAGCATTCCCTGGTTGGTTAAAATTACAAACAATTAGCCTGAAAATTCTTTTCGACTTTAATCAGTATATATGCATTTCGACATGGTAAGAACGACTCACAATAGTTCATCTTCTGAATAGTTTGTATGCCATTCGCACGTCTTACACCATTGTCCAACGCCATAAAGCGTACATTGAGCTGTATATATTGCAGCAGCAGCCAAAAACGAAGGCGAATATTTGAGCATTTCATACTCCACCAAGCAAAGCTCAATCAAGTAGAAAGAGAGTAGCTCAAGCTGACAGAAAAACGAACACATTAATGACATGTTTGGTACACAGTGCTATACGATGATGATAGGCGTGGATTTGTACAACCAACCTTCCTATCCGACTGAGCAGCCTTGAGAAATCTTCTCATAAAAACGTGTGCAGTCGGAAGAGACATTGTAAACTGCAATGTATGGAGCATCAACCACTCCATTTGGAGGACTTCTTTTCTTGAGTAAGCTTTGTCCGAAATAAATATCAAATCATTGACAACTGGAACTAAAACTTCCTCATATTTCGAAGCCAAGAGCATAGCAACCAAACCAACAAGCTGCAGCTTCTTTCTTTCGACAGTTTGCTTTGCTAAAAATCTGTCTATTAGGTTTACAGTTAGAAACAATGTCTCGTCCCTAAGGTCGAATTTGTGGTGTACCTGTTGAATATGACTTGATTTTAGTCCGGTGAAAAACGCCAAATTATAAAGAACATTGTGTATTCCATAATACCTCAATAAGCCAGTCAATTAGAATAGCCCTCATCCTTTCATTTATGTCAAGTTGTTGTACCATATAGCCCGGCGAAACACAGCTACAATTCTGCAGAATGAATAAGTTTTCGTCATTAGAACAAGGACGAAATTTCTGCAGTATTCAGTCCAATTAAACTTCAAATTTTGAAAATGGATAAAATTTATATTCTTGTTAATATTTATTTCAATATAACCTTACCTAAAACCAAAAATTAGTATGTTTTTGTTGAATCTAAATGCATATGAGATCTTACCTCCATTTTCTTGTAGTAGGCATATAGATCTTCAACATAGTCAACAACTGCAAGGGGATTTTTCGCATCACAACTGTCAATATCCATAATGGTCTCTTCAAATATGTCCTCCATTTCAACTTCGTCCTACACATTGTATTACCAATTTCATCATCATTATTTTTGAATAAACCTATCGAAAAAAAAGGCAGAAAACCAATATATACCATTTGATCTTTTTCGGTAATTTCAGTTTCTGTTTGTTCCAAAGACATGGACACAGATGATCCCTCTACATCTGATAGAGGGATATCCTCCCATATAGTGAATTCATCAACCGATGTCTTTGGTTTCTTTGTGTCCTGTTCAAAATAGACCGAACAATACCACTTAAATCTTCGACTTTGTAGATAACAACACATTTAAATTTTCTGGGAAAAGGTACCTCCGGACACGTTTTCTGGGAGAGTGCCATTTGTGAGGCATTTTTCCTTTATAGATCAAGAAACTGACATTAGCAAAAGTTGAAGATAGGAATTTAAAAGCAAGAACTTCTTACAGAAAATGAAAAGTTAAGGGCGGGCCATAATCTGACCTTGGAATTGGAGGGTTTGTGTCAGAAATCCCGGTTATTCTGAGTTTCAAATAGTGATTACGCATCAAATTCTTATTCAAAAAGATTCGAAAATATACACGAAAAATGTTTAAATGGGAGAGATGGGACTTACTCTGATAAAACTCTCTTGTTAACAACACAAGGAAATGGATTAGCTCCCACTAAATTCTGATTCAGCACACTTAGAGCTCTTCTATTAGGTCTCAAATCCATTCTGAATTTTCTTGCACCCATCATTTCTGCCCCTACAACCACCAATTAAACCATTTTAGAAATTGCATTTTGAACTCAAAAACCACGAAGAAAAACTAATAGTTACCTTGTGCATTTGTGGGTTTAAACTGAGCAGAAGTGTTCTGGTTAGATAAAACCATTTTCAATTTGTTTTTATCAGAAGAACAAATCAGAAGCCCTGATTGAGTAAATTAAAAAAAAAAAAAAAAACCTCCTCAAAAGAACCCTGTAATGCAGATGAGCATCTACAGAAGTGGGTATTTTTCTAGTGAAAGCACTGATTGTGTATTTGTTGATTTGTTTTTGTGTATATTTGAAATACAACGGCTAGTACAAACATGGCAATTGTAATAACTTTTACAACGGTCACACAACGTATCTTGTACCCATGTGATTTCGCTTTCAAACTTCTATTAATTAAAGTTATTATAGTTGGCATTTGCTCTTTTTCAGTGCTCACACAGCGCTCTAGTCCACTCTCGTCGAGTGACAAAATGAAAGATCTGAAGGTCTTCTTGTTTGTTAAAAAAAGATATGTATTGAAGTGTCAAAAATATATTGCGAGAATAATTAATAGGACGGCAAGTTTGAGACAATAGATTTAAACTCGACCTTTACTAGTGTGGACATGGTCAAAGTGTTCAATTTGAGTTGTTATCACAGAATTGCTAGACCATTTGGTCCAATTTTCTTTCCGGCATGTTCAATCGTAGACACGTGAAAAAGATGAAAAAACATCAAGATATATTGATGTCTTCCTATTTATTACGATGCGATATGCTTAGATCACCATGTAATGTTAGGACAATCATTGCAACAAAAGATCCATACTAGTTTGGACACGCTCAAATTTTTCAATAAACCATGTGTATATCATGGGTGACAGCCCTCTCACATAGGGGGTGCGGCTCCCAATTTTAAAAATCGTGGGCCCCACCCCATGTGAGGGGACTGTCAAACTGAATGTACATGTGTACATTCAGTATTATTCTTGTTCAATTTGAGTTGGTATCACAAAATTGTAAAGCACGCACTCTCATACCGGTTATCGTTGAAAAGAAGAGATTTTCGAGGTTCTATAAGCACAATCAAATAATGTAGTGTAGTGTAGTGTAGTGTAGTAGTAATAATAATAATAATACCACAAGTAGCTTATATTTCTTTATTATGAAGTGAGCTAAGAACAATGATAAAAGCTTAAGATTATCAAGATTTAGCTCACGGTTTAGATAAAAATCAAATTTTGATTAAATGTGTAATTTAAAATTGATAAAAAGTTATGGATCTCGTTGAATGTGTGGATAAAAAGAATTTGAGAAAAACGAGTTTTATAAATGAAAACAAACATAGGCTCAATAATATCCACGCTGGATGAATTAAATCGCTTTAGACAAAGTCAGGAGTTGGATTATTATTGTTATAACATAGCATGCATGGCAAAAGTGGCAATGTGAGAATAAACCTCTCCTAGTGCATGTATACGTGCGATTGAGATTACTTCCCTTAAAGGAAAGGTCGTGCTAAAATAATCTTTGCAATTGTAACAGAAACAATCAAGATTACATGCATTGTTAGGTTACCAACCAATCAAGGATTTCGATAAAAGACAATAGTAAGTTCAAAGGTGACGACAATGCCCACAATTAACCTAACAGACCTCCCATGCTAACCAATAAGAACAAAAGGTAAGTACCGAGTGTGATACAAATTCAGGTGAAGTCAAATCTGATTGAGGTACAAGGGCGGCATTGGGCCCCCCACTTCCTATATATGGCCCACGTATCCGCATATTCCACTTATCCAATTTACTCCACTTTACATTTGCTCATTTTTCACCCCCACTAACTTTAATATTAGATAGTCTTGTTGATTGCACCTCTCTTTACAATGATCAAATAAGATTAATTGATTGTTGTTTTGTAGATATAACTATCAAAGTAGAAAGTAGGAGACTACCACATCATTTCTTACATCAACAATTTAATATTAAAGGAAGGCTCTTTCTTTTGAAATGTCCTGATAAACAGTTTGGTGATTGCGCCTCTCTTTGTAACGACCAAATAAGATTTAAGAGGAAATTACACCAGATGTCATTTTGTCATAATGTAATTACCAAGATCTCACATTTTTAAACTAGTTGCAAGAATGTCACAATTGGACATTTTTACACCTCTGCATAATTTAAATACCTTACATGTCTTGCATTGATTGAGATTTGACTACTTGTACAATTTGTCATAACCAAAAGGTCAAAACAAGGAAAAAGAAAGGGGGGAAATTATTTTAATTTGTAAAATCTTTCACAACCCTCCTCTGGCCATAGAAAGAGAACGAGAAAGATAAAGACAACCTTCACCACTCACCGTGAACCACCCACTACCGGCCAAAGCGAAAGACAGAGAAAGAGAAAGAGAAAGATGAAGAGAGAACTCCACCTCCCAACGAAGAAGAAACCGACTGTCCACTCACTCCTCACTCAATCGACTCACCGGAAAAGGTTGATTGTGTAAGTCAATGTTTTGACATTTTTTCCCTAACTTCCTGAAATTTTGTGATATGCATTTTTTCATTTGCATTTGGGTTTGTTGTGAAGTAATGACTTTGGTGATTTTGTGTAATTTTCTGAATTTTTGGCTCTCTCTATATCGATTTTTACATCTGAGTTTTTTGAATTATTGGAGAAAACGGTTGTGGAGGAAATTAGAGGAAAAACTGGGTGTGAGAACGAAAATTATGACAATTTCCCAATCTGTATGTGTGTTCTTGAGGTTAATGATGATCCAACTTGCATAAGGGTATTGGTTTGGAGAATTGTTGATTGGTAATATAGATTTATGAAGAATTGTTTGACCTACTTTTTTTTCTCCAAATTTTAAGGGATTTCTGAATGTTGCTGACTGTTCACCCATACATGGCTTAATTGAAATTATTCAAAAATGTGATTTCATTCATTTCGAGATTTTATTTCTAATTTAATTGTTCTGTTGCTTCAAGAGATCTTAGATTTTAAATTTGGGGTTTTTGAATGTAAATGTCACCAGCTTGTGAACCTTCTACCATCTTAGTATGTGTCACCACTTCGTGTGCAATGGTTTACCTCAACAAATTATCTGCAAATGAGTGACTTGTGAACATGTGTTCTGTCGTTTTCGACAGTTAGCTGTAGTCGATGGGGAAAATACGGATAGGCAAACTGCCGTTCCTGACAGTTAGCATCAGACATTCTCTGTAGTTGAGTAAATTTGGTACAGGTAAACTGTCGATCCCGACAGTTAGATGCAGAAATTCTCGACAGATGACTGCCTTATGAAATAATGTGAAGCACATATGTTCCATTTTTCATTACATCTTCGTTACATGTCCTTTTACAGATTGTTCATGTTGCATTGGGTCAGTAATTTCACGTCGTTATATGGTTAACGTACATATGTTGATTGCTATTTGTTTGCGTCCGTGTGTATTGGCTTCAACATTGATGACGTGTGATTAGCTGACCCTTTTTCGCCTTCTTATTCATTGCAGAGTCCATGGAGTTCGAATTCTTGGTTCCGGAAGATGCAAGGTTGCGTGCACGTATATCCCAGCGAAGTAACCTCAAGTACGTGCAAAGGGTGTTTGAGCACTTTGACGAACGACAGCGCCACGACTACTAAATTGTTTTGTGAACGTCTATGTAATGTGACTTAGATTTTCTGGTTTTGTGAACGTTTCATTTAATTTCATTCTTCACGAATTTGAGTTCAAGATTGTTTTGTAATGTTGATCCTGGTTAATGGCACCTTAAATTTTGTGTTTAAGTAAATTTTGTGGTAGGATGTGTTACAAATATGTCTTAAACGACGACCTCGAATTTTGTATATTTTATTCGTGGAGCTCTTATTTATGTTAATATTACATTCGTCCAAGTATTTTGTGCATATTTAGTAATGATCATTAATCAATTCCGAAGGCAACAATGTCTCTTCTGTACTGTGTTTGCCTCGTGAAAATTTGATGTCTTGTTTAAACTGTTGAGAAATACAGAGAACATTTGTCGGGATCGACAGATTAAGCGTCGGAGTGTGCTGCAAACTATGTATGTCATGTCGGTTGAAGCACGCACAACCATAATTCAAAATGAGGACAGAGATGATCACATGCTATACGTTAGAACAATAATGAAACTAAAATGCACATATATGATGAGGGGATGCCATTGAAATGGTTAGGTGGCCATTAATTAACAGATAAAACAACGTAATTACATTGTTAATTCCCCAATACATTAAAAGACAAAACTACGTAATTACACATGGTAGGTGGTCAGTACATTAGCAGATAAAACAATGTTATTATATATAAAAAGTTAACTGGGTTGCGTTACATTAGTGTTCGTGCATGTGGTTCGATTATAATCAAATATGCCACAGCGAGTGCAGCGCCGTAGTCATTGCCATGCCAAGACTTGAGGGCTCGACTTCTAAAATAGTAACGCAAATTGTAGTTTCCTTATGAACCGATATGTACCAACTAAGGTCTTCGTCTTCGCATATTTCAGCCAGAGGTATATTCAAGTTCAGGATTCTGAACTTCAATTCAATTTCACTGTAGGGATCAACAATACCGAGTTTTTCCTTCAACCGTAAAGTAAGTTCGGCTACCGTAATATTTGTCGGCACTAAAATGGAAGTGGTTTGGTTGTTCCCTCTCCATTTCCATTCGTTGTCCACATTTGTGAAATTTCCTCCGTAAGAGACGATAAATCTCAAATCATCACTCATACCTGAAATGTTGGGATTGCAATTGTAAGAAGTCTGCACTATCAAATAAATGTACATTGAATACCAAATAAATGTGGAAAACTACTAATCAAGATTTTCAACAATTCTCAAGTGTCAAAATCGACAGTTAAATTGTGTATCCTAACAGTTTGTAAACTGTCAAATTCGACAGTTTAACTGTCGGGGCCCGGCGGTTTGAAACACTATATTCGACCAGTTAAAGTATAAACAGACGGCTGTAGGCTTCAAAACAGTTACTGTAGAAATTTCTAGGAGGACATTAATGTAGAACATTAATGGTGATAATCAATTCTCATTCAACAACACAATATCTTTTCAAAATAAATACGTCAATGCTCAATTAAATATCACCATGTTTT